ATACAGTTGCTCACTACCCACCAACTGACGCACAGCCAGATCCTCAGCAGCCAGAGTCAGAGCCAGAAAGTCCGAGAGCTGGAGCCTGAGAGTGATCGCAGCAGAGTCTGAGCAAACCCCATAAGCAACAGCACGACTGGGAAAACGAACCAACCCACCAATTCACTAACAAACGAGCAAGCAAAGGAGTTAGCAAAGTTGCTAACAAAGGAGCTAAGGAACCAGCAAAGGAGTTAGCAGAAGAGTTCAGGAGTAAAAGATTTACGGAGCTAACAAAGGAGTTAGGGACCCCGAGCATGATGCACTATGGAATGAAATACCCCTTCGGTCAGTTTGGGTCAGCTGTCTGAACCACTGCTTGTGGTGAGGAAGTTGGAAATGCAGCTGCAGTATCAGAAGCTGAGAAAGACCTTGAATTTGGTGCAGGATAGTCGCAGGTAAAGACCAGGAAGCTTGTGTATTGAGATAAGAACTATTTAATAATTGAATATAAATATTACAATTATACTAATAATATTAACACTAATAATAAAATAATAGAAAATAAAATATGATACAGTTGCTCACTACCCACCAACTGACGCACAGCCAGATCCTCAGCAGCCAGAGTCAGAGCCAGAAAGTCCGAGAGCTGGAGCCTGAGAGTGATCGCAGCAGAGTCTGAGCGAACCCCATAAGCAACAGCACGACTGGGAAAACGAACCGACCCACCAATTCACTAACAAACGAGCAAGCAAAGGAGTTAGCAAAGTCGCTAACAAAGGAGCTAAGGAACCAGCAAAGGAGTTAGCAGAAGAGTTCAGGAGTAAAAGATTTACGGAGCTAACAAAGGAGTTAGGGACCCCGAGCATGATGCACTATGGAATGAAATACCCCTTCGGTCAGTTTGGGTCAGCTGTCTGAACCACTGCTTGTGGTGAGGAAGTTGGAAATGCAGCTGCAGTATCAGAAGCTGAGAACGACCTTGAATTTGGTGCAAGCACTCCCCAGTGCAAGCTAAAAAGACCTTCTCAGTACTGTTCTCAGGGGAAATCCAGGAACATAGCTTCATACCAGCCGCTGTGAAGCCGCTTCATACCAGCCGCTAACTCTTTCCTGACTAAAACCAGCACACCATACTGTCTGAATCAGAAGAGATGCAGGAATAATGTAAATCCAAATGTGTTGTGGAAACAGAAGAAAGTCATTTTAAAGGCCAAGAGATTAGGATCTGCTACTTAACTGTTTCTTAGGCCAAAGTCTGAGCTGCAGGAATCATAATTTTGGGACTTCTACACATGTTCCAAGGAGGGGACAATTCAAGCAGCATAGCAGGTTGGACACTACATGAGCTGGCAGATGTGTGCTGGAAGCACACTGACAAATTTCAGTTGCATTTTCTGCTCCTGTATGTGCTGGGCACAGTCACAGATGCAGGTTTTTCTTTTTTCATGGATTACTGTTTGTCTGAATCTGAGACAAAGCAATTATATTTTCTGTTTCATTGTAAGCCATCTCTGACCTGTTTTTTTTCAGGTTGGAGCAATCCCTGCAAATGCAGCTGATGATGGACAGTGGTCTCAGGGACTTATTTCTGCTGTGAGTAACTACTTCTCTTAAGAAAAACTAGCACCTTCTCTGAAGAAATAATATCCTGTGAGAATACACGGTGCCCTTTTTTACTGTCTCCTAGGCCCGAATGGTGGCAGCTGCAACCAGCAATCTCTGTGAAGCAGCTAATGCCTCAGTACAAGGCCATGCCAGTGAGGAGAAGCTCATCTCATCTGCCAAACAAGTGGCAGCTTCTACAGCACAGTTGCTTGTGGCTTGCAAAGTGAAGGCTGATCATGACTCTGAAGCCATGAGGAGGCTACAGGTACTTGTGTTCTTAATTACTGAAAACCAGTAGTAGTGCTATGTAAACACTGGTTTAGCACTGTGTGAACAAACCCTAGAATTTAGGAATAGTTTCTTCAATTTTCAGAATTCTGTTCAGTTTTTCTTCCTTGTGGGATTCTGGGGCACTTTTATTCATCAAGGATGAAGTGATTGTGCATTTGTCATTATTTAGCAGTAGCTACATCTCACTTCACTGCTTGTTTTATTCTTCATTTTTAAATGATGTTGAGAGATGCAAATGTTAACTGGCCTGTGCCAAGCCCTGGTTCAGGTGCAGTATTTGATAGATTCATGTTCCTGATATGCATGAGCTGAAATGTTTACCATGTGCATTATTGTAGTGGCTGAGTATAGTTGGTTTCTCTGCAATTATTCTGCATTTAGTTAGACTCCCAGTGAGCTTGCAGACAGGTAAGCACACTTAACTTGGTTGCACATGAGTATCCTCCTGACCTCTGCAAGATCATGCATATGTTCAACGAAGTACCTGCCTAAATGCCAGCCTGGGTTGTGGTCAGTTTTCCTTTGTTTCTGGGAGTCAAGAGACAGCAATTGTATATAGAACATTTCGAAAATCAAGAACCATTGTCAGTCAACAACAAGAAGAAAGCTGACACAACATCTCAACTAAAGTCTGATTTAACGTTTTTACATGAAACTTTTACATTATATATCCATTCCATGTTGAGCTTTTCTGAACTATTACTGAATTAACACTGTGTTATGAGGGATAAAATCTATTGTCTCCAGAACTTTCATTTAATGGTGTTCATTTTTAAAACAGCTATAGCCTTCCCTGGCATCCTGTCCTGCAGGCCTAGCCTGTAATGTAAGATATATTTCAGCTCCTTTTTTCATACCATCAACATGGAGCGTCTTTGGTGATAGGTATTTTTTCCCATTTTCTCTTATTTGCACAGATGCTACTAATAGACACTCACTGTAACAGTTCATGTATGGATAGGTAGAATGAAGTCCAACAGAAATACATATGACTAAGTGTCTGAGCAAGATAAACTGATGTCATCAGTTTTCAAAGTAGAAAAATGGGTTACATATTTGGGATGAAAAAATAAATGTATAAACGTGAAAAATCTGTGTGTTTCTATAGGAAACAGTTGCATGTTAATGTTATCTCTAGGGATGTGATAGTTTTTAGTGCTCTGTAGTGGATTCATATAGATTGACTTTGTCACTGTCTGTGAAGAAGGTACCAGTAACGGGAATAGAGTTCAGACTAATGCAGTCTGCACTTTAATATCCAAGTGCCAGGATGGGTCTGAAGGAATTTTAAATGCAGAACCAACAATTGAAACAGTAACAAAATCAAGTACTAGAGGCTTTGTTATCTCAGCTCTGCCAGGAAGTCCAAGGTACTCACTCACTAGACAAATATTGTTAAAGGGACATCGAATGTGAAAACTTGGAAGGGAATGTGAAAAGCAAAAGAGCCCAAGCATGGATTGAAATTGAACTTTGCCACTTTACCAAGCTTTGCATTAGTCCCAAAATGAATAATAAAGGGAAAAGCAGTTTGTACTTGGAAATAATGTCCTTTATCTTAGCAAAATCAGTGAGTTGATGACCACCAAATATTTTTATTGGTGAATTTGCCAAAACTACTGAGACTTTTCAGCTGGCTTTGTCCCCAGCACAGATGTTTTCACACAGCCTTAATCAATAGGTTAGTTTCAGGAGTTTGAGTTTATTAGTTTTCTCTTTCCTACTTCACAAACAACTGCAAGCTTTGGGAGAAGACGTTTGAACGGCATTTCCCATGAATGCTAGCTAACTTGGAATGCGCTGCTACAGAGTCTGTTCCAAAACTTAATGAAACAAATGGAAATGTTTCCATTCTCTTTGGACAGGCTCCAGACTGAGCAGAGCAAATTTGAAATATTTTGTCCTTGGGTCATTTCAGATGGGAAGAGAGTCAAGTTGAAAAGGGAGACAAAGGAAATATGGAATAATACTGGGGGAAGGTGGGGGACAAGTTCAGAGCTGGTCCACGTGGTTTCCCCTCCTAGTGCTGGCGTCTCCAGCATGTGAGAGAAGGATGTCTTGGCCTCTGTGGGAATGAGGGTTCTCAGCACGAGACACGTGGGGACATTAGGAACCACAGGACAGAGAATTCTTCCTATTCTCTCTCACTGCGTGTTACAACACTGCAAGTACCTACCCTTTTTCTGTACATTGTGAAAGCATTAATGTTGATCATTGATGATGTTGACTGTTAGATGCTAGGGTTTAGGGGTTAGTACAAGAACAGCCTCACTGGATCAGACCAAAAGTTCATTAAGCCCAATCTATATCCCGATTCCTGCAGTGGCCACTAGGAAATGCTTAGAGAAGCAAGTAAAAACAAGGTAAGCATGTATGGTACTATTCTATACTATGTTCTTAGACTCCAAACATTTTCAACTTGCAAACTTCCCAAGCCAGATGCAGATTCTGTATGTTTAGTAAACCTCAGTGATTTTCTCCTCTTAATTTATCCACTCCTTCTCAACCCCATGCCAACTTCTAGAGTCTAATTAACACTACTTGGGCAGTAGATTAAGCTTGGACAGCTGTACCTCTCTCTCTCCCAACCTGCTTCTGCTGATTTAAATCCACATAGTTGAATAGCTGAATGCCATGCAAATGCACCTGTGTAGCGCACAGGTCTCAGATTTCATTTACAGGATAGGCACCTTCTCTGTGCAGGGCTTCTAGCAAGATCTAACTATTCACATCCTTCTCTTCCTGAAGTATTAATTTGCTGTTGAGGGAAACTGGTACAAAGTTATGCTGTGCAGCATTACAGAAGTCAGTTTGAGTAGTGATAAATTCATGTCACTTTGACCAGGCTATGTTAGTGCAGGACTGTTGATAACATCTTGCTTGTGGTATCTAAACTAAATTCTTCACAATTAAGAAAGACATCTTTACATAGCATTCCACTGTGCACTGAAAACTTACCAGGTGATTTAGGATTTACATTTCTTTTATCTTTTTCAAAGGCTGCAGGAAATGCTGTCAAACGAGCATCAGACAATCTTGTCAGAGCAGCCCAAAAAGCAGCATTTGGGAAAGCAGAGGATGACGACGTTGTGGTCAAAACAAAGTTTGTTGGTGGCATTGCTCAGGTTGGTACAATGACCCAAGAAATAAAGCAGAGGAAAAGGCTGAGATACTTTGTGCCAGTCTTTAAGAGTAAGACCAGTTGTTGTCTGGGTACCCAGCTCCCTGAGCTGGAAGACAGGGACAGGGAGCAGATTGAAGATTTGGGAAAGCAGAGGATGACGACGTTGTGGTCAAAACAAAGTTTGTTGGTGGCATTGCTCAGGTTGGTACAATGACCCAAGAAATAAAGCAGAGGAAAAGGCTGAGATACTTTGTGCCAGTCTTTAAGAGTAAGACCAGTTGTTGTCTGGGTACCCAGCTCCCTGAGCTGGAAGACAGGGACAGGGAGCAGATTGAAGCCCTCCTAATCCAAGGAGAAATGGTTAGTGACCTGCTACACCGCTTAGACACCCACGTGTATATGGGACCAGACAGAATCCACCCAAGGCTACTGAGGGAGCTGGCAGAAGTGGTCACCCAGCCA